TTGTGGTAGGGGACCTGAATGCTAAAGTAGGAGAAACTTTTAGAGAGGGTGTGGTAGGTAAGTTTGGGGTGCCAGATGTAAATGATAATGGGAGCCCTTTGATTGAACTTTGTATAGAAAGGGGTTTAGTTATAGGTAATACATATTTTAAGAAAAAGAGGATAAATAAGTATACAAGATATGATGCAGGGCAAAATGACAGTAGTTTGTTGGATTATGTATTGGTAGATAAAAGACTGCTGAGTAGACTTCAGGATGTACATGTTTATAGAGGGGCCACAGATATATCAGATCACTTTTTAGTTGTAGTTACACTGAGAGTAAAAGGTAGATGGGATACAAGAAGAAATAGAAGCATCAGGAAGAGAGAGGTGAAGGTTTATAAACTAAAAGAGGAGGCAGTTTGTGTAAGATATACACAGCTATTGGAGGATAGATGGGCAAATGAGAGCATAGGCAATGGGGTCGAAGAGGTATGGGGTAGGTTTAAAAATGTAGTGTTAGAGTGTTCAGCAGAAGTTTGTGGTTACAGGAAAGTGGGTGCGGGAGGGAAGAGGAGCGATTGGTGGAATGATGATGTAAAGAGAGTAGTAAGGGAGAAAAAGTTAGCATATGAGAAGTTTTTACAAAGTAGAAGTGATGCAAGGAGGGAAGAGTATATGGAGAAAAAGAGAGAGGTTAAGAGAGTGGTGAAGCAATCTAAAAATAGAGCAAATGAGTGGGTGAGATGTTATCAACAAATTTTGTTGAAAATAAGAAAAAGTTTTGGAGTGAGATTAACAAGTTAAGGAAGCCTAGAGAACAAATGCATTTGTCAGTTAAAAATAAGAGAGGAGAGTTATTAAATGGAGAGTTAGAGGTATTGGGAAGATGGAGGGAATATTTTGAGGAATTGTTAAATGTTGATGAAGATAGGGAAGCTGTGATTTCGTGTATAGGGCAAGGAGGAATAACATCTTGTAGGAGTGAGGAAGAGCCAGTTGTAAGTGTGGGGGAAGTTCGTGAGGCAGTAGGTAAAATGAAAGGGGGTAAGGCAGCCGGGATTGATGGGATAAAGATAGAAATGTTAAAAGCAGGTGGGGATATAGTTTTGGAGTAGTTGGTGCAATTATTTAATAAATGTATGGAAGGGGGTAAGGCACCTAAGGATTGGCAGAGAGCATGCATAATTCCTTTGTATAAAGGCAAAGGGGACAAAAAAGAGTGCAAAAATTACAAGGGGATAAGTATGTTGAGTATACCTGGTAAAGTGTATGGTAGAGTTATTATTGAAAGAATTAAGAGTAAGACGGAGAATAGGATAGCAGATGAACAAGGAGGCTTTGGGAAAGGTAGTGGTTGTGTGGACCAGGTGTTTACAGTGAAACATATAAGTGAACAGTATTTAGATAAGGCTAAAGAGGTTTTTGTGGCATTTATGGATTTGGAAAAGGCGTATGACAGGGTGGATAGGGGGGCAATGTGGCAGATGTTGCAGGTGTATGGTGTAGGAGGTAGGTTACTGAAAGCAGTGAAGAGTTTTTACGAGGATAGTGAGGCTCAAGTTAGAGTATGTAGGAAAGAGGGAGATTATTTCCCATTAAAAGCAGGCCTTAGACAAGGATGTGTGATGTCACCGTGGTTGTTTAATATATTTATAGATGGGTTGTAAGAGAAGTAAATGCGAGAGTCTTGGCAAGAGGCATGGAGTTAAAAGATAAAGAATCACACATAAAGTGGGAGTTGTCACAGTTGCTCTTTGCTGATAACACTGTGCTCTTGGGAGATTCTGAAGAGAAGTTGCAGAGGTTGGTGGATGAATTTGGTAGGGTATGCAAAAGAAGAAAATTAAAAGTGAATACAGGAAAGAGTAAGGTTATGAGGATAACAAAAAGATTAGGTGATGAAAGATTGGATATCAGATTGGAGGGAGAGAGTCTGGAGGATGTGAATGTATTCAGATATTTGGGAGTGGACGTATCAGCGGATGGATGTATGAAAGATGAGGTGAATCATAGAATTGATGAGGGGAAAAGGGTGAGTGGTGCACTTAGGAGTCTGTGGAGACAAAGAACTTTGTCCTTGGAGGCAAAGAGGGGAATGTATGAGAGTATAGTTTTACCAACGCTCTTATATGGGTGTGAAGCATGGGTGATGAATGTTGCAGCGAGGAGAAGGCTGGAGGCAGTGGAGATGTCATGTCTGAGGGCAATGTGTGGTGTGAATATAATGCAGAGAATTCGTAGTTTGGAAGTTAGGAGGAGGTGCGGGATTACCAAAACTGTTGTCCAGAGGGCTGAGGAAGGGTTGTTGAGGTGGTTTGGACATGTAGAGAGAATGGAGCGAAACAGAGTGACTTCAAGAGTGTATCAGTCTGTAGTGGACGGAAGGCGGGGTAGGTTTCGGCCTAGGAAAGGTTGGAGGGAGGGGGTAAAGGAGGTTTTGTGTGTGAGGGGCTTGGACTTCCAGCAGGCATGCGTGAGCGTGTTTGATAGGAGTGAATGGAGACAAATGGTTTTTAATACTTGACGTGCTGTTGGAGTGTGAGCAAAGTAACATTTATGAAGGGGTTCAGGGAAACCGGCAGACCGGACTTGAGTCCTGGAGATGGGAAGTACAGTGCCTGCACTCTGAAGGAGGGGTGTTAATGTTGCAATTTAAACTGTAGTGTAAAGCACCCTTCTGGCAAGACAGTGATGGAGTGAATGATGGTGAAAGTTTTTCTTTTTCGGGCCACCCTGCCTTGGTGGGAATCGGCCAGTGTGATAATAATAATAAAAATTTACAGACCCTTTATTTATTCCTGTTTTCCATTTATATGCCTCAATCATATCCCCCCTAATTCTACGCCTTTCTACAGAGTGCAGATTCAGGGCCCTAAGTCTATCCTCATAGGGAAGATTTCTGATGCATGGGATCAACTTTGTCATCCTCCTCTGTACGTTTTCCAGAGCATTTATATCCATTCTGTAATACAGTAACCAGAACTGTGCAGCATAATCTAAATGAGGCCTAACCAAGGATATTTGGAGTTGAACAACCTGAGGACTTCTATTACTTATACTTCTTGATATGAAGCCAAGGATTCTGTTAGCTTTATTGCAAACACTAATGCACTGTTGCCTCAGTTTTAGATTACTGTTAGGCAGAACTCCTAAATCTACATTATTTAGTTTATGTGTGGCATGGTTTTTTTCCTGTCCAACATTTAGAACTTTGCATTTGTCTATATTAAGCTGCATCTGCCATTTCTCCGACCATTGCATCAGTCTATTCAAATCATTCTGAAGTGCTCTAATGTCTTCATTAGATTGAATTGGATGGCCTATTTTGGTGTCATCAGCAAATTTGCTCATGTCGCTATTTATTATGAAGGGATTCAGGGAAACCGGCAGGCTGGACTTGAGTCCTGGAGATGAGAAATACAGTGTCTATACTCTGAAGGAGTTTTATAACTGTAGTGTAAGTGTTCCTCTGGCAAGACAGCGATGGAGTGAATGATGAAAGTTTTTCTTTTTCGGGCCACCCTGCCTTGGTGGGAGACAGCTGATGTGTTAATAAAAAAAAATAATACCTTGAGAAAATAGGATAATGTATTGATATAAATGTCTACACCAGTCTTGTAAGAGATTTGAGAATGTTCAATTAGTTATCCTGTAAGAATCTTTTTTTTTTTTTTTTCAATATGCCGGCTGTCCCCCACCGAGGGAGGGTGACCCAAAAAAGGAAGAAACGCTTTCATCATCATCATGTTATTTTTTATTATGAAATGGTAGAGAATATTTTTCTGAAGGTAATAAAAATAAGTGCAAAATTTGATGGAAAACTAAAAAAAATTACACTTTTGCAAATTTTGCTGTGTCAGCAATATTTATGCATTGGCAATTTCGTCCACTTTGAGTCTGATTTTAGGCCAATTGCATTGTTCCAGTTGACCAAATTCTTAGCTATTTTGCTAGTATGTTTTCCATTCTATAGAATGAGTATAAGAGACTGCCCATTCAACTATTTAAACTACCTGATAAAGTGATCAGAAATTGGTAATTTGGCCAATTTCACACAAAATTCAAGAAATGCAGGTTTCAGATAGGGTCCAGAATAAACAAATCATTCCTGGCACTAAAATAATATTTTCTCCATTCACTCCAGTCATATCTGCAGGTCCCTATTATATTACGCTTGCTTTCCATATTTTAATTTTTATTCACACAAAAAAATAAAAGAGTTACTGTTATGCAGACTACTGCATTATTGTAAGTAATTGTATAAATAATGTCAGTGCATTCCTAAATGCATATTTGACTAGCCAGTTGGATGCATATTGAATAAGTGTGTACTCTGGAATATCAGCAAAAATCGAATATTTCTGCAACTTTGAGCTCAATTTCAAGTTACTTTCAGTCCTGAAACCAGTCAAAATCACCTCTATTTCTGTAATATATCTTCCATTCTAAAAATTGAGACAAAGAAACCAAGAATACAACCAAAAAATGAATATGAAAATACACCGCAAAGTCGCTGTTTTAAACTAAAAATATGGTCACCGTTTTTTCTCATTATGCACTGTACTGCAGGACTTTATATGGTGCACACTTACTGCATAGACCCATTCTCTTATATCTAGGCCCAGATTTACCACTCACAGATGATCTAAGTGAGCTGAACTCATGGGGTTGTACTACGGGACCGACACTGGCTTCAAAGCCATTATACAACAGGACCAACCCTGAAAGGGTTAAAAAATATTTAGGTACATAATACAACTGCACATTTTTTTGTTCTGGTATTCAGTAATGTACCTTTAACTTTGATCTTGTGTGGCCTGATTCCACTTGGAATATCTACTTTCTTGAGAAAGTAGCTGTATAGTCTGTGTTTCCCAAGTTATTTCCTTGTTATTTTTTTTTCTCTGCTCCTTGCTGTTCTTCTTTTACTCCTCCTCCATCATTTTTCCTTATGATGGTTTTTATCTTCTTTCTCCCTCCATCAAATGTATGCAAAAATTTATTTTTGTTTTACAGACAAATCAGAAATTTCTGAAGAATCAGAATCTGCAGTCAGCCATGGTAAACGAAATGAGTCCACTAACACGGGTGTTTGTGGGAGCACGTTCACTCGTGGAAGATATTCTTCCCTATTTACTGCTTATTACGCAACCCAATCTTCGTCCGGTAAGTCATTATTGCTTGACTTAAAATTTTTAATATGCACAATATTTCAACTCAGTGATATGACTTGTGGAACGTAGTATTTCCACCATAGTAACAAATTAACATTGAGACATGCTTGTTTGAAGTTTGTAATAAATTTCAGATATAAAACTGACTGAAGTAGGTAATAAGTGAATAATTTTAATATGAATTGTTTCATTTTGTGTATAAGAAGAGTAGAAATAGAAATGTCTTGACTTATGGTGCAGTGTATGAGCAGGTTTGTAGTGTGTTCAATTGATAAGCCTCCTCATCTGCTTTTTTAATATGGTAGGGCCCCACTTATACAGCAGGTTAGGTTCCAGGCTACTGCCAGAAAGCAGAACACCATTTTTTCCACTTATAAATACATATAAATGCCAGACAACAAGTTAACACTAACTTATGTCAAGTTAGTACAGTGGACCCTCAGTTATCAGCCGTTCCGCTTATCGGCCAACTCGGTTATCAGCTGGTTTTCAGCTTCCAGTTACCAGCCATTATTTTGCATATCGGCTGTATTGGATGCATCCACCGCCAGCTGCTCACGCGTTCCTGAGTCAGTGTGGCTGTCTCTCTGGGCGAGTGAGGAATCTTCTGCTCATTCATTCAAACATTTCCCTATAATCCATTGTTTTTGTTGGTTATTGATTTAGTGCAACTGCGAAATAAGCAACCATAGCCCCAAAGACAGTTCCTAGTGAAGTTCCTTTCATAAAGAAAGTGAGATACCCGACAGAATTCAAGGCAGGCAGGCATAGAGGCAAGGAGTGTAGCAGGCATGCAGGGAGTGTAGCAGGAAGGCAGGGAGTGTAGTAGGCATGCAGGGAGTGTAGCAGGCAGGCAGTGAGTGTAGTAGGCAGGCATAGAGGCAAGGAGTGTAGTAGGCAGGCATAGAGGCAAGGAGTGTAGCAGGCAGGCATAGAGGCAAGGAGTGTAGCAGGCAGGCATAGAGGCAAGGAGTGTAGCAGGCAGGCATAGAGGCAAGGAGTGTAGCAGGCAGGCATAGAGGCAAGGAGTGTAGCAGGCATGCAGGGATTGTGGCAGGGAGGCAGGGAGTGTAGCAGGCAGGCAGTGAGTGTAGCAGGCAGGCATAGAGGCAAGGAGTATAGCAGGAAGGCATAGAGGCAAGGAGTATAGCAGGGAGTGTAGCAGGAAGGCAGGGAGTGTAGTAGGCATGCAGGGAGTGTAGCAGGAAGGCAGGGAGTGTAGCAGGAGGGCAGGGAGTGTAGCAGGAAGGCAGGGAGTGTAGCAGGAAGGCAGGGAGTGTAGCAGGAAGGCAGGGAGTGTAGCAGGAAGGCAGGGAGTGTAGCAGGAAGGCAGGGAGTGTAGCATTGTTTATATGCAATTTTTTTTTTTTTTTTATCACACTGGCCGATTCCCACCAAGGCGGGGTGGCCCGAAAAAGAAAAACTTTCACCATCATTCACTCCATCACTGTCTTGCCAGAAGGGTGCTTTACACTACAGTTTTTAAACTGCAACATTAACACCCCTCCTTCAGAGTGCAGGCACTGTACTTCCCATCTCCAGGACTCAAGTCCGGCCTGCCGGTTTCCCTGAACCCCTTCATAAATGTTACTTTGCTCACACTCCAACAGCACGTCAAGTATTAAAAATCATTCGTCTCCATTCACTCCTATCAAACACGCTCACGCACGCCTGCTGGAAGTCCAAGCCCCTCGCACACAAAACCTCCTTTACCCCCTCCCTCCAGCCTTTCCTAGGCCGACCCCTACCCCGCCTTCCTTCCACTACAGACTGTACACTCTTGAAGTCATTCTGTTTCGCTCCATTCTCTCTACATGTCCGAACCACCTCAACAACCCTTCCTCAGCCCTCTGGACAACAGTTTTGGTAATCCTGCACCTCCTCCTAACTTCCAAACTACGAATTCCCTGCATTATATTCACACCACACATTGCCCTCAGACATGACATCTCCACTGCCTCCAGCCTTCTCCTCGCTGCAACATTCATCACCCATGCTTCACACCCATATAAGAGTGTTGGTAAAACTATACTCTCATACATTCCCCTCTTTGCCTCCAAGGACAAAGTTCTTTGTCTCCACAGACTCCTAAGTGCACCACTCAATCTTTTTCCCTCATCAATTCTATGATTCACCTCATCTTTCATAGGCCCATCCGCTGACACGTCCACTCCCAAATATCTGAATACATTCACCTCCTCCAGACTCTCTCCCTCCAATCTGATATCCAATCTTTCATCACCTAATCTTTTTGTTATCCTCATAACCTTACTCTTTCCTGTATTCACTTTTAATTTTCTTCTTTTGCATACCCTACCAAATTCATCCACCAATCTCTGCAACTTCTCTTCAGAATATCCCAAGAGCACAGTGTCATCAGCAAAGAGCAGCTGTGACAACTCCCACTTTATGTGTGATTCCTTATCTTTTAACTCCACGCCTCTTGTCAAGAGGCAATTTATGTTTAATAATAATCACTCTTGGGAACATTAAATGTCTTATTTTAGGTTATTATAGACATTTTCATTAATCCATATATGATATTTTCTTCAAAATTACAGTGGACTTTCAGGTAACGATTTTAATCTGTTCCAGAGAGCTTGTCCTTAACTGATTTTATCGTTAGCCAAATTAATTTTCCCCATAAGAAATAATGGGCTAAACAGCCCATGGCTAACAAAAAGTATCCTCAAATCTATTAATAAAACACACCAAATTGAAAAACAGTTCAAATTAGGCTTAATTACTAAAGAATTTACTGAAAGATACACATCAGTACTCACAAACCTAATAGGTAAATCAAAGCAAATGTATTATGAAAATAGATTTAGTGAACTGACAGGTGACATGAAAAGTACCTGGCAAACCCTCTCCAAAATTTTGGGCTCTAGGAAACTGTCTGGAAATAGAGAGATAAACTTAACTGAACCTGATGAACCTCACATACAGCCTATAGACACGGCCGACAAATTTAATGTCTTCTTCTCTACTGTAGGATCAAAGCTAGCAAGTCAAATTCCTAGCTCAGATACCCAGCCGAGCGAGTACCTCACTGGCAACTATCCAAATACGCTATTTCTAGCTCCAACTAATCCCACTGAAGTCTCACTCATCCTTAAATCATTAAAGAACAAATCAGGTGATCTAGATAACTTGCCGCCATTCATATATAAAAAAGCTGCACTAGAACTGTCGCCCATTATTGCAACAATGTTTAACAAATCTATAGTATCCTCAACCTTCCCATCTATGCTCAAGACAGCAAGGGTCACCCTGTTCCACAGAGGAGGAGATCCAACTGATTTGAACAACTACAGATGCATATCAAACTTTCCCTTACTCTCCAAGATATTTGAAAAAATAATACACAAGCGACTTTACTCCTACCTTACATCCAACAACATACTTAACCCATGCCAGTTTGGGTTTAGACCAAAAAAAAGTACAAATGATGCTATTATACAAATGCTTGACATAATATACACAGCCCTCGATAAAAATGAATATCCTCTGGGGCTCTTTATCGACCTACGAAAAGCATTTGACACAGTTGACCACAATCTCTTGCACCTCAAACTGAATCATTACGGCATAAGAGAACATTCTCTTGACTACCTAAAATCCTATGTTAACGACAGACACCAGTATGTACATGCAAATGGAGTCAACTCCGCTATCCAACCACTCCTCTGTCTCATCTGCATCAATGATCTCCCCAATGCATCCCAACTCCTTAAACCAGTTCTATTCACAGATGACACTATGTATGTCTACTCCCATTCAGACTCAGCTGTGCTTGGAAACACTGTAAACAATGAACTGCTAAAGATATATGCTTGGATGATGACCAACAAACTCACTCTCAACATAGACAAAACATACTTCATGCTGTTTGGCAACAGAGCCTCAAATATCCAACTCACCATACTGTTAAATGGTGTTCCTATATCAAGACACATGGAGGGCAAATTTCTAGGTCTTCTCCTTGAGTGTAATCTTAAATTTTAGTCCCATACCCATCACATAGCCAAGAAAATTTCCAAATCAGTAGGAATCCTTTCCAAGATACGATATTATGTACCACAAACGACTCTCCTTACCCTTTACCACTCTCTAATATATCCTTACCTCACCTATGGTATCTGTGCCTGGGGCTCAACCACAATCAACCACCTTAGACCCTTAATAATCCAACAAAAAGCTGCTGTGCGGGTGATAACCAGCTCCTGTGCTAGACAGCACACCCCACCACTTTTCAAAAGACTCAACTTGCTAAATATACAAGGCATACACTCTTATTATTGTGCCTACGACGTGTACAGAACATTAAACTCCACTGTAAACCCTCCCCTAAAACTACTACTTGACAGTTACAACAGAATGCACAGGCACAATACAAGGCATAAGGCACTTTTCAACATCCCTCGAGTCAGACTCTCACTATACAAGAATGCTATTACCTGGAGTTTACCTGGAGAGAGTTCCGGGGGTCAACGCCCCCGCGGCCCGGTCTGTGACATAAAAGGCCCGAAGATTTGGAACTTGCTATCGGAACAGGTCAAGGATCCCCTGACAGCTTATAAATTTAGGACTTTGCTAAAAAATCATCTTATCTCACAATATTAACCAAATCAACCAAACATCTGCTAACTAGTTTTATTACATGACCTCTAGGCTCTTAATTCTGCCAATCCATAAAATCATCTTGTTTCTCAATATTAACCAAATATGCCAAAACATCTGCTAATTAGTCTTATCATGTGACCTCCTGGCTTTTAATACTGCCATTCCATAAAATATTACCACCTGCACCATTACTTGTAAGGTAGATTTTGTACTAAGTTTAAATAAGATTGTATTAAGTTCAAATAAGATTGTAAAACAGCTAACCACTATTCCTTGTTTAGCTTTAATTATAGTTACTATGTACTATTATCTTATCTAGTTTTAATTAGCTACTACGTATTAGGATTACTCTGCCCAAAATGCTCG